GGTTTCAGCAACATCCACATTTCACGGTCCTATATCTTCCAGCATACTCCCCATTCCTCAACCCTATAGAAGAGTTTTTCTCGGCATAGTGGTGGATGGTATATGATCTCCGTCTTCAGGCTGAGGTACCCCTCATCCAAGCCATGGAGGAGGCCTGTGACCAAATGGAGGTAGCAGCAATACAAGATTTTACATTCAAGACACTTCTTTCCAAGGTGTCTTGCTAAGGACAACATTGCAATGTTGATAATTCTCATGCCAGATTCAGCTAGGCGAAGAGACAGTGTCTACAGTAACTTACAGTTCAATACGTAAAGTGACATGTTACAGTACTTTGAATCCTAATGCCAACATGTTGGACATGTTGAGGAATAAATGAGTTTCTTCAGTGTGCAGCATTGTTCTTGAGTAGTGTTTGGTGAATTTAATTTATATTTGTACTTTGTTGATAATAGCCTACTCTAATCATAGGGACGTAGAAGTGCTAAAAGTGTTTTAGGTTTATCACAGCAGTGTGTAACTCATGCAAACAGTGTATAGTAAATGTGAAAATGTGTGTTTCTTATGGTAAAAAAGTGTGGTTTTTAAACATAAGTCTATAGTTTTTATAAGAGTGTTTAATTATGCAAAGGATCTGTAGTGTTTTGGTAATTGGGTGTGTGGTTGTGCTAGATGTGTGTGCTGTTTTGAAAACACGGGCCCTGTTTTGAAAATTGTGCTTAAGCAATCCAAAAAAACTGTAATAATGTCAAATGGTTTATATATAGTCATTCAAATTAACTTAAAACGATTAAAAACGGCAACAAACATTTATTTAGGCCCGAACTACAAAACCAAATGTAAAACAATTTTAGCATCAGTTTTGCTTAAGTTGCACACTAGTGTTGTAGGAGAGGGGAAATAGAATATTTACGGGATTTGTAGTCCATAGCTAAGTGTATTGTGGGTAGTGTAGTTCGACACGCATGCTGGATGATGTTAACTCGCTGTGTTCTGTGCAGCTGAGCAGAGGAAAAAAGTTTTAATCGGCTTTGTTTTATGTTTACTCGAGTTATTCCTACCGGGAGCTGTTTACACTGTGAATCTGACAACACGAAAATAAGTAAAAGAATGACATGCATTAATTACTTTTGTCCGTCTCATCATCTGCACGAGCATGAATTAACGAGCTGTTATTCTGCCACTGGACATCACTGAAGCGGAGAAAGTAACACTAGTTTGATCATGTATAAATATCATTATAAGTATATTGTATAAATATTATTATAACTAGGTCTACTGCAACCTGATAATCAAAAAACAAATGACATGATGTCACAGGCGATTGTCTTCTGACTGTAGACACTTCTCATATAATTTAGCTTGAGAAGCATACAGTACTATTTGATCTATAAAATTTGTAAAATAAACATTTGCAGGTTAAAGAAACAGCATAGGATGGGCCTTGGTGCAGATAAAAAGTTTAAAAAGTGTATTTGTATATAGAGACATGGGTAACTAGATAGAATAGACAGAGATAGGTTGATCTTTGCAGCAGCTGCCGAAGAGCTGTGCGCTGCAGACGCAGCTGGTGTGAAAGGCAAACGCCTGCGTGCTGCTACTGCTCGACATACGCGCTGCGCACGCGCTGCTGACGCTTGCGGTGTGAAACAGGCTTTAGTCACAAAACCATTGTTATACAATGACTTGTCTAATTACCCTAACCTGCCTAGTTAACCTAATTAAGTTAAGCCTTTAAATGTCACTTTAGGTTGAATAAATGTTGAATACTAAAAAATGATCCTCAGCAAAATAGCCAGGAAAACACATTTCAGCAGCCAGAATCTCCAGACCCACAGTCTCTGTCACCAGACACATTCTCATTGTCACCTTGCTTGTCTCTCTTGGATTTTTTAAAAAAAGATGGAGGAACTGGCATATGCTGTAACTAAACTTTCACACACTATTGCCGCAAGCCGCTAGTTACCAACCAAAAAGCGGCTTGCTCCACAACCACCCATGAGCCCTCCTGGAAGAGCCCTCCGACCTCTGCCACACTGCCAGGGCCCAAACAACAACGCCCCATATTCAGCTGGTGAACACAACAGCTCTCTGTCTGTAGCTTTCTCTACGCAGATGTGTTGTGTTACGTGACAGAAAACCAAAGACTTCTTCAGGCCGTATAGCAAATTACTCAAATCTTGTGTCTATTACATGTAAATATGAGACTACTGTAGTGAAAACAGCTAAAACTGTTAATTTAGCACTTTTAAACATTAGATCACTTAACAGTAAGTCACTTTTTGTCAGCGATTTTATCAACACAAATTGCCTTTGTGCTTTTAAATGAAACTTGGCTAGATGACAGTTGTAGTGCAGCAGTTCTGAATGAAACAGCTCCTTTAAACTTTGATTTTTTGAGTGTGCTCACTGCCCTGTTTAACGATGTCTATGAGTGTAAACAAGTGTCATTTGGTGAATATTTGTCTTTTGAATATCTGAGTATAGCACTGAAAAGGGCTCCACGCATCTTACTGATAATTATCTACTGATAATTAACCTCCAAAATATTCTCCAGCTTTTATTGATAATTTTACAGAGCTATTATCAATAGTAACCTCTGATCTTGAAAATTTTACTCCTCTTCTTCTTCTTCTTTGACGTTAGTCCCGTATGGTTGCAGGGTCGGCTTTTTGGAACAAGCCATTTTAGACTTGTCCATATGATACTGACTTTTTTACACATTCCGGCCGGCCTGTCATCTGGGCCTATCACCCTTATACAGTCATACACTACGGAAAATTTAGGCTACCCAATTCACCTGCAGGATGTCTTTGGACTGTGGGGGAAACTGGAGCACCTGGAGCAAACGAGGAAACCCACATGAACGCAGGGAGAACATGCAAACTCCTCACAGAAATGCCAACTGAGCTGAGGATCAAACCAGCAACCCAGCGACCTTCTTGCTGTAAGGCGACAACATTACCTACTGCGCCACTGCTTCGCCGAATTTAACTATTTTTCTATTGCTGGAGATTTTAATATTCACATTAATAATCCAGAAATCAATGCTGTAAATAACTGATTACTGTTTTTAACTCTTGTGATCTGACTCAGCATGTTCAAGGACCCACACATAATCTTGGACACACTCTTGATCTACTTATAACTAAAGGTTTACACATATTATGATTCTCTAGAGTAATGTCTAAAGTGATGACATGGTGATTTTGCTGACATTTTGAGATTTTAAGGGTGAATGGCGTGAAATGCCATCCGTCTACAGAGATATCTCCCTATAGTATTAAAGTCTAAATTAATTCTCTGTTGCTATCGGGATATCTCAATAATTAACTACGAAAAAAGCAGCGCAATCACTAGTTTCCTGTTGTGTTTGTGAAAAGGAAAAATGCTAGACACATGCAGGCATTTCTTCCGTCTTTCTGCCAACACAACACACATTCCTGATATACAATTCCCATCTCACACTCAGTACACTACAATTATATGGTATAAGTACAGCACTACAACATACAAAAGACAGGGATCAACTAAGAATATCAGTTACCAGTATAATAATGATTTGATCAGCAGTAGTTAGAAATTACGCTGTATTTTTCTCCTCTAAGAGCTTATGATGTGGTCTCTGTCACCATTTTGTGGATGGATAACGCTAACCGTCTTTGCTCAGTATGACAGGCTAATGGCCGCTGCTTCTCAGAAATTCTAAATATTTTAAATGGGAACTATCCTGAAAGTAAACTGCTTAGTTGCAATCTAAACAACTATGTTCTCACCTAAAACAGCAGGAATAAACACATGGAAATAGAAAAAAGTTAACTAATTGAAAAAAACACTTTAATCAAGTTTAAAACACATTTGAATTTACGGAAACGAGCCGCAAATAGCACAGACTACAACAGAAATGTGTTGGAGACACCAAAAAGTGACAAAACATTCCTGCTTCCTGTTTAGTCATTGGCTGTTTCACAATTCCAAGAATGCAGAGAACAGACTTGCGTTCTTTTGAAGACCGGTCTTGTCAGGTCACCTCGGAGCAACGAACTCTGAAGAACATGAGAACAGACAATGCGTCCTGTGAGAAATGAGATGCTGCGTTCTTCCTGATGGTCACGTGACCTTCACGCATTTTTTGCTAGGGGGTGTTCATTTGCAGTGGTGGGCTCAAGACTTTGGAACAGTCTGTCTTAACATGTTAGAAAGGCCTACTATCTGTTTTAAGTCTATGTGTCAGAGCTGTTTTTTAAGCTTATTTTATTCATGATTTTTATTCCATCATAATATATTTCATAATGTTTTATTATTTTATTGAGCTCACCTGTACAGCACTTTGGTGAACTACTGTTGTTCCTAAAAAAGTGCTTTATAAACCATAAAGATCGACTGGTAGCAGTTAGATATCAATCTTAGTTAGATAGATATATATAAGTCCGGTGTTCTGTCGATTTGTCTAACCTTGTGAGATTGTCCTACCTCCCATTCAAAAAGTAGGTAGCACATTTTGATAACACAATATGCCACCCATCAGAATTCGGTACCAGAGTAGATGTGATTGGGGAATAGTGTGATATGAAGCTGTAATATACCCCTTACCTACTAAGTCCCTAACCCCAATATCAGAACCTTTCAAATACAGTGTTGGTAGCATAATCTGATAGGTAAAATAAAATGTCAGGACACCTGTTGACTAAAGACCCAATTATGTAATGCATTTATGGATTAAGCGTTTAAAAGTCAGTGAGTGGGTGTACTGTATGTATTCACAGGAAATCAAAAACCAACTCAAAACTTGGATAACAAGTCCTCACAGGAGATGCTTTTTCCAAGCAGATCTAAACAGCAAGGTATCTTGGCTGATCACATAAGACTGATCACGCAAGATTTGAACACATGGTGCAAATGGGGCAAAATATTTTTTTACTGATGTATTTTGAAATACAGTGAACATTTTAGACTTGTTGAGTAACATTTCTAGGTTTTGTTTTGTTTTTGTTTTTTAGACAGGAAACATATCCCACGCCCTCAGTCTCTCCCGGGAACTATTGCTTCATGGTAATCTTCTGCAGTCTTCTAACAGACACTAGCAATAAGTGACATAGTGAGAAACAAAATAAAACAAATCCATTTATTTTACTTGTTTCAAAACTTCATTTGTAAAATTAAATAATCTGGGAGATTTTTCAAAAATTAAAAATCACAAAGTAATGTTGTTTTCAAGATCCCATGAACAGAAGGGTACACTTCAATGTGGAGAAGTACGAGAAACTCCTAAATGAAAATCTACCTGCTACTAGCAGTGGTTTGACTTTGAAAAGGCCCGACGGCATTTATTTGAGAACCAGGAATGCCTATGAACAGCTCTGCCAAACCAAAGGATCTCAGGTACCATTTCACTTTTATATTTGTTGTACCTTATGATTCAGGGCAAGATGATTTATTTCACATTTATCATGAATTGTTCTATTCAATACCATATGTTAAAAATGTTAAACTGCCCGGCTCTAGACAGTCTGCAACATAATCAAGAATCCACGCCACCAATCGAATAATTCAGAAAAGGAAGAATTATTAAAGTAATTAAAGTAACAAGGTCACATAAATAATCTTTTAAACGAAGAAAAATGCTGGTGCTGGAGGAGACCGATCAGGCACCCTAAATCAAGGCAACAACACAAGCTTCTCTCGATAGAACAAATGAGGAATCCTTTTATCATGCGTTTATAACTGGCAACGCAGCACAACTGTAATCCACTTCAACCTGCCCACATAATGGAACAATTGACCACAAAACAATAGTGCCATATAGTAAACATCCCATCACCAGCAAAAGAAACGCAAAAACAAACCAGTAACAAAAATATTTGTGCATGTATTAAACTGTTAAGCGTTTATGATAGCACATACTGCTATAGAAAATAATAATAATAACAATCATAAGGCAACACGGTGGCACAGTGGGTAGCTCTTTTGCCTCACAGCAAGAAGGTTGCTAGTTCGAGCCTTGGCTGGGTCAGTTGGCCTTTCTGTGTTGAGTTTGTATGTGTGTGAATAAGTGTGTATGGGTGTCTACACACAGAGAGAGGGAAATTGTACCACAGAGAGTCTCGGAGTCTCATCCGAGAGTCTCATCCTAAAGACAGCACTCACTGAGCAGTACAGAGTCCCCATCATTATACTGGGGCATTAGGACCCACACAGACGACAGACCCCCCCTGCTGGACTCACTAACTCCACTTCCGGCAACATACTAGCTTTCTCATGTGGTCTCGCATCTAGGTAATGACTGGCACCGCTCTGTTTACCTTCAGTGGGCAACCATATGAGAGTTACAGACAGCTAGCTGCCGGTATTATGAGACAACTCGACAATTCGTAGTTTCTCTGTATTTAATGGATTTATTACTCTGTAAAAAAAAATCAGGGTTCCACACAAAATCTCCATGTTGTCCCATCACAAATTCACAAATTAACTTAATCGTTTTTACAAATTTAAGTGATCTGAATATAAAACAAGTAAGCTTTCCCCCTCCTTAAAAAAACTTTGTTGTTTTAACAGATTTTAAGTAAGTTGAACAAGCAGCAAAAATCATTTGAGTCTACACTGTAAAAAAGATGCCTGCAAAATTGTTGGAAACAATTTAAATGTGTTTAATTTAAAAACTTTTTTGTTTAAATTTAGCCCAAATAAATTGCTTACAACCACTTAACCTTAAAAAAAAAAGGAAATCCAAGGAATCAATTATGAATTATTTTTTTTCAGTGTAGGAGGGTTAAATATCATTTCCTCAAAATGTCCAATATATAATATAAAAGTTTAGTCAATTAGATCATAAATCATTTTTCCCAAGAATTTTTTTTTTAATTGTAGTGATAGATAATCATTGATAAACATTCAGGTTTTTTTAATATTCTGATGTTAAAGCATTGGTATTTTGTTTCTAAAAATTAATACACAATATCTGGGATTGTACATAGCGCTTATATTATATAGAAATGACAAAAGCTTTATATAAAATTTGTAGAATTGCCATCAATGTATATACTATAATTTATAAATGTTTGCCATTTTCAAGTGGTGTATTTTTTTTTCCATAGCTGTAGTAATTGAAAAGAATTCAGACATTATTTCAAGAATAATTGCTATTTTTGATATGGCCTCCATATGAATAGGAAAACAAATTGAAAAAGTACAAAAACACAAAAGCCGCAAAAAGAAAAGAAGTGAAAAGAAGAAGAGTTATGGCAGATCCTGTGTGGATCTTAGTTAAATTCCTTATGAGATCAACTGAGAGAATTTCCTGTACTTAAAATTATATGGCCTGAATTTTGGACCATGGAGAAGGTCTTATAAAATAAGGAGCTGTTGTAAATCTTAAGTATGTAATTTCTAATGACACTTAAAGGAAATTCAATCTGTTTGTTTTGGCTGCTTAAATCAACTTGCTCAACCACTAATATCAATCTGGTATTTGTTTTTGAATTTTGTTTGTGTATATTCTGTACTTTCTGCATTACTAATAATAATTTATAACAAATTAATTTCAGTTTACACTTCTCTATTGCTTTGCACTGTTTAATGAGCAAATAATTTCATTTTAGTTTATTAGGATTAATTAGTTATAAATCAACTTAAAAGAATAGTTTATAAAAAAAAACTAAATCTGCAGTTAAATTACTCACTCTCAGATGATCCAAGATGTAGGTAACTTTTTTGTTCACTAGACTAGAGCATTAAAAAAAGATCACAGACTGAAACTGTGGTTCTTGCTGATTGTAAAGAGTCAAGGACAACGGAGGTGAAGATCACAAAGGTTACTAAAGTAACCCTTGTTCCCCGAGGAGGGGAACGGAAATGCTATTAGTGGATTTGATTTTAGGAAAATCCACGAATTGGGAGGATTCGGTTCAGAAGCAGCTTGTCTGAAAGAGTATGGAACAGGCCAATGAATGCCAATGAATTGGCAGCGTAAGCTTGCGCAAGTGTGCTTTATTGCCAATTAACCCAGCATATAAGCCCATGTGGAGCATGCAGACGCCATCCTTTTTAAGCTGAAGAGACTTAGCTAACAGCTAAGGGACAGTCATTATGGCGATGGAAAATAGCATTTCCGTTCCCCTCCTCGGGGAACGAGGGTTACTTTAGTAACCTGAGCGTTCCCCTTCGGGTGGGGAACTCCAATGCTATTAGTGGATTTGATTTTGGGAAAATTCACGAATTGGGAGAACTATGGAAAACGTCATAATGACTGCACCTTACCAACGCCTCCAATGAGAGGATAGTCAAGCAAGCGTGACACACCCACATCATGGGAGGCGCGGTCCTCCAACGTGTCCCTGGCCCTAACTTATCCCACTTCAACGGAAGTTTTACGGATTTAGGTATATTTTTTGGGAGTCGTGAGCATCTAGATAATTCTAGGAAATACGATAGTACGTTGGGAAGCGTGCAATCCTGATAGGTCAGTGCTAGGGGCCATGGAGGAATCTGCAGGGCTCACCTGACGGGGAACTTACTGACAGATAAGAAGGCGCACATATCTCCGTGGGTATACACCCTGCCGAGTTGTTTCCTCAATCACCAAAGGGTTACCTAATATCCTTGAGGAAACTGGCTCCACTCGCAGATTGTAAAACCTAGCAAATGTGTTGGGTGTCGCCCAGCCCGCAGCTCTACTGATGTCTGTTAGAGAGGCGCCGCGTGTACGCGCCCAAGAGGATGCAACGCTCCGAGTGGAGTGTGCACGCACTCCCGGGGGACACGGCTCACCTCTGCTCGAATAAGCAAGTGAAATGGCCTCAACAATCCAGTGGGATAATCTTTGTTTCAATACGGCACTTCCCTGCTGCTGACCGCCATAACAGACAAAGAGCTGCTCAGATGATCTAAAGTACTGAGTACGGTCCACATAGATGCGCAGAGCGCAAACTGGACAAGGTAAGGAAAGGGCTGGGTCTTCCACCTCCGGGGGCAGCGCTTGCTGGTTTACTACCTGATCTCTAAAGGGAGTGGTAGGAACCTTGGGCACATAACCCGGGCGGGGTCTCAGGATAACGTGAGAGTAATCCGGCCCGAATTCCAGGCACGAGTCACTGACCGAAAATGCCTCCAGGTCCCCGACCCTCTTAATGGAGGCCAACGCAGCCAGCAGAGCTGTCTTCAGGGACAGAAATCTTAAAGATAATGATTCAAGTGGCTCAACGGGATCTGTGCGCAAGCTCGTGAGAACGAGGGCGAGATCCCCAGAGGGCATGAGAGGGGGACGAGTTGGATTAATTCGCCTAGCGCCTCTGAGGAACCGGATGATGAGGTTATGCTTTCCCACAGTGCCGCCAGCTACCGCGTCATGATGAGCGGAGATGGCAGCCACGTAAACCTTGAGAGTGGAGGGCGACAGCCTGCTCTCCAGCTTCTCTTGAAGGAAAGAGAGCACAACACTGATCTGACAGGTTCGGGGGTCTTCTCTGCGAGAGACACACCATTCAGTGAATAGACTCCACTTCAGGGCATAGGCGCGCCTTGTGGAGGGGGCTCTAGCCTGAGTGATGGTATCAACCACCGCACACGGTAGGTTACCTAAGTCTTCCTCGCGTCTAAGGACCACACGTGGAGGTTCCAGAGATGGGGGCGAGGGTGCCAGATGGTGCCCTGTCCCTGAGAGAGTAGGTCCTCTCTTAAAGGGATGCGCCAGGGGAGGGCCGTCGTGAGGAAGGAGAGCTCTGATATCCAGGTCCGGTTGGGCCAGTGGGGCGCAACTAGCAGAACATGTTCCTCGTCATCCCTAACCTTGCACAGTAACTGCGCGGGCAGGCTCACTGGGGGAAACGCATACTTGCGCATGCCCCGAGGCCAGTTGTGGGCCAGTGCGTCCGTGACGAGAGAGCCCTCAGTCAGGGAAAAGAACAACTGGCAATGAGTGTTCTCGGGGGAAGCAAACAGATCAATCTGGACCTCCCCGAATCGTGCCCATATCAGCTGAACAGACTCGGGGTGGAGTCTCCATTCTCCGAAGTGTATTTGCTGCTGTGAGAGCACATCGGCTGCACGGTTGAGCATACCTGGAATATGAATGGCACGCAGCGATTTCAGCCGCGGGTGACTCCAGAGGAGCAGACGGCGGGCGAGCTGAGACATGCGGCGAGAGTGCATACCCCCCATACGGTTGATATACGTTGCCCCCACCGTACTGTCTGTCCTGACCAGCACGTGTTGCTGCTCCAGCACTAAAAAAAAGTGGTGGAGAGCGAGGAACACTGCCAACAGCTCTAGGCGATTGATATACCAATGCAACTGGGCACCCTTCCATAAGCCCGCAGCTGCATGCCCGCAACACACGGCCCCCCAGCTCATGTTGGAAGCATCTGTTCAACAACATGACTGGACGCCTGTCGTAGAGGCACATTGGCCTGCAGGAACGAGGGGTCGTTCCAAGGGCTGAGGGCGCAGCGACACAGCGCAGTGACAGAGACTCGGTGTGTGCCCGCATGCCATGCGCGTCTTGGGACTCGATCGCGAAGCCAGTGCTGAAGTAGTCTCATATGGAGTAATCCGAGCAGCGTTACGGCTGCTGCGGATGCCATATGCCCCAGGAGCCTCTGAAAATATTTCAGTGGGACCACTATTTTGCTGTCAAGCTCTCTCAGACAGTTCAGCAACAGGCGAGCGGCGCGCTACCATGGTGACCGAGTCCAGCTCCATCCCGAGAAAGGAGATCCTCTGCACAGGGGCGAGTTTGCTCTTTTCTCGGTTGACCTGCAACCCCAACAGGTGGAGGTGCCAGAGCCCCTTGTCTCTGTGCATAATCAATTGCTTCTGCGAGTGGGCTAAATCAGCCAGTCATCGAGATAATTGAGTATGCGGATGCCCACGAGCCGAAGGGGCGCTAAGGCACCCTCCGCGAGTTTGGTGAAGACCTGCAGAGACAGAAAGAGCCCGAAGGGGAGGACCTTGTATTGCCACGCTCGACCTTTGAACGCAAACCGCAGAAACTAGTGGTGGCATGGAAAAATGAAGACATGGAAATACTCGTCCTTCAGGTCTATGGCTGCAAACCAATCCAGAGGACGAACGCATCGGAGGATGCGCCTCTGTGTGAGCATTCTGAACGACAGCTTGTGCAGGCAACGATTCAAAACGAGCAGATCTAGGATTGGCCGTGACCCACCGCTCTTTTTGGGTACGATGAAGTACAGGCTGTAAAACCCACTCTCCATCTTGGTTGGAGGGACCGGCTCGATTGCACCCTTTTTCGTGGCACTGAAAAGTACCGTTGAAATAGGGGCCCCGCCCTTCAGCGTGGAAAGAGCAAGTTTCCTCTTCTCCGGATGGCCTGTCTCAGGGACGCTTCGCGGTCAGTTTACAGGACTTAACGGTGCCCTGGGCAGGGGGGTCTGCCGGCTTTCGAAGTGCTCGACGCGCTCTCTTCGCCGGAGGCGTGTGCGGGGCAGCTCTCGTAGGCGGGCGCCCTTGGCGAGGAGCAGCGGAGGTGGATGGCTTGGCGGGCGGAGCGGGCTTACAGTCCCGCCGATAGATGACATTGCCCATCGCATCCGACTGCTCTCTCACCGCCTTGAATTCCTGGGTGAACTCACTGACGGTGTCGCCGAACAGGCCAGCCTGGGATATGGGCGAGTCAAGAAAGCGAACTTTGTCGACATTGCGCATATCGGCCAGGTTTAGCCAGAGGTGGCGTTCCTGGACACCTAGTGTGGACATCGTCTTCCCCAGCGCACACGACTTAGTAGTCCGAAGAGCATAGTCGGTCGCGGTGCGCAGCGCGTTTAAGAAGCCTGGGTTAGACCCGCCCTCGTGCAGCTCGGCCAGCGCCTGCGCTTGGTAGCGCTGGTAGGTGGCCATCGCTTGCAAGGCGGAAGCAGCCTTGTAAGCTCTGGCTCCAAGGGAGGCAGATAACCTACAGGCTTTAGACGGGAAACCGGGCGGACCCTGCCAAGTAGGGGCGCCACAGCACGCTCCACTGACAGAATCGCTTCATACCCCCTGGCAGCTCCACCGTCAAGGGCGGTGAGGGCGGAGGGACACGCAGCGCGTGCAGAGAAAGGTGCCCTCCAAGACTGCGTGAGCCAACTGTGCACCTCCGGGAAGAAGGGGACGAGAGGCTTAGAGGGCTTCACCTTCTGTTCCTCTACGTAACACCCATCTAGTCATTCTGGCCGCGGAGCTGGGGGATGAACCATCTCCAACCCCACGGCCGAAGCAGCCCGGGAAAGCACGGCTAACTTGTCCGCTTCAGGATCCGTCTTGACGGCGCTCGCCTGCCCGGAGGGGGCGAGCAGGTCTTGATCCTCGTCGGACAGTGAAAGCCCACCCTCCGATGCCTCGGAGGACATCTGATCTCCAGTGTCAGCGAGCGTGAGAGCTACCATCTGATTAGACGGATCACTCCCAGTGCCCAAAGCTTGGATGGAGCGCTTGGAGGAGCGGGAGGTCCGCAAGCCCTTGGGCGGCGGTTTATCTCCCGCTGAGACCCTCAGATCTGCCCGAGTGCAGTCGCAGTGATGACATGAACCGCCCACGAGCACCACATTAACATGCTGGACCCCCAAACATGTAATGCAGTGATTGTGTCTATCATCTGGAGCCAGGAAACCCCCACAACCAGAAACGCACAGTCGGAGCGCCATCCTGAAAAGGACGTGCTGCACGACTGTGTTGCTCTTTTAGAAAAAATAGAAAAAAAAGAACGCCAGGCAAGGGAGAATCCCAGTTTGACCGTCTGCCGCCGCGTATACCCACTCTGGACCGGGAGACACTCGTTCGCTCGGAAGTCGCTGCAGTCAGCAGGAGGAACCCTCATCGACTCGATCAGAAAAGTCTCTGAAGCGAAAAGGATGGTGTCTGCTTGCTCCACGTGTGCTTATATGCTTGGTTTATTGGCAATAAAGCACACCTGCGCAAGCTTACGCTGCCAATTCATTGGCATTCATTGGCCCGTTCCATACTCTTTCAGATAAGCGGCTTCTGAACCGAATCCTCCCAATTCGTGGATTTTCCTAAAATCAAATACACTAATAGCATTGAAGTTCCCCACCCGAAGGGGAACCACGAGTAGCTTTATTAAACAAAGTCAGGCAGGCAAGGGCTAAAACAGGAGCAAACTGTAACATTCAGGCAATCCAAAGCATAGTCAGAAAAACAGGCGAATGGTCAGGACAGGTGGCCAAAAAAAACATAAAACCATAAGCAAAGCGAAGGAAAAAAAACACACAGTAGGCAGGACAGTGAAATGCTTTGAAATGCTCTCTTACAAATAAACAAAACTCAGCAAATTGTGTGAGAATGTGAAATGTGTAAATAGTCTAAGTAATGAGTCTGTCATGAGCTTCAGCTGTGTGTGTGTATGTGTGTTGTTGTCTGAATGATTGTCAGCTGTGGCAGGAGTGATGAGTTGTAGTTCATATCAGTGGCCGGTGTGTTGTTCTCCAGTGATCTGCACTAGCTATATTGCTGGTGATCGTGACACTGATTTATTAAATGCAAGTCAGTGGCTACTGTCGGAAACATTTGGCTACTGATGATGTGATTTGTCTTCTTCAATCCACAGCCTCGATATTTTATTTTCCTGCAAAGTAAATATACTGTTTTTACACATTTAGACATTAGTTTGTCAATTAAACCTCTTTTCATATTAATAAATTTCCTAATGTTTATTTGATGACCTTTTTTCTGGATCATTGTTGATATATGGATGCTTTATTCATTCATTTTCTTGTCGGCTAAGTACCTTTATTAGTCCGGGTCGCCACAGCAGAATGAACCACCAACTTATCCAGCAAGTTTTCACGCAGCGGATGCCCTTCCAGCCACAACCCATCTATGAGAAACGTCCACACACATATTAACACACACACTATGGACAATTTAGCCTACCCAATTCACCTGCATATCTTTAGACTGTGGGGGAAACCAGAGCACCCGGAGGAAACCTACACGAAGATACAAGGAGAACATGCAAACTCCACACAGAAACTCTAACTGAGCCGAGGCTCGAAACCAGCAACCTTCTTGCTGTGAGGCGACAGCACTACCTACTGCGCCACTGCTTCGCCCATGTATGCTTTAGAGCTCTGTAAATAAAACACTAATGTACTTTCTTTCTTTCTTACAGCCAAAGCATTTTGAGAATCCCAGTTTGTTCTGTGACTATTTCACCAACGGCAGCCCTGCTCTATTTCTGCAGCCAATCAGACGAGAGATAATCAGCCTGCAGCCCTATGTGGTGCTCTTCCATGGCTTCGTCACCCAAGCTGAAGCCAAAAACATCAGAAAATATGCAATGCCAGGGGTAAGTGTACAGTTTGCTTTAAATATAGTTTAGCCAAAAATCAAAACTCTCTGTATTTTTTTTCTCCCATAAGTAATTCTAAACCCTTATAAATTTATTTTTTTCTGCTGAACACAAAAGAAAAGATCCTGTGGTAAGCTGAAAACCATTGACATCCATAGTTGCAACTTACGGTTCTGACAACAAAGGATCCAATTGCAGAGTCTTTATTAAAGAGCCTCGATTATGCTTAAAAAAGGTAATATTTTGATTTCGGGGGTCTCCAACAACAGGCTAATATGCATGCAAGTTAAAAAACACTTTCATTGTTTTATAATATGTGTTTATTTTTACCTAATTATCCCAGCAACTGCAGTATGATTCGTTCAGCAATTTATTTGTTGCCAAACCCCTCCTTAGCACGAAGCTTATCTGCGCTGATTGGTCTGATATCCCAGTCTGTTGTGACTGGTCAACTCCGTTCATTGTGAGACAGAGAAAAATGCCCAGTAAGGCTTATCAACAAGTAGCCAGTATGTGTGAGCCCAATGCAGGAGTGCATTAAAGCAATGCAGTTTAGCACCAGCATATTGCTTAACCAAGTGTAAAAGCAGTGACACCCATTCAGTATTAATCCACACAGTGGCAAAACTGGACTATTTTTAAACTTGACCGCCACACGTGTACAGCTGATGGTGGCCATAGCACAACAAACGGTAGTAAAACACGAGCTCACAAATACATTTAAATATGTAAAAGCATCACATGTTGCGCTTTTCAGCATGGTTTTAGACGCAATATGATAATACAGAGTTAACTAGATACAGTAAAGCGGTTATAAGTAACAAAACACAAATAAATGCATAACTTGCAAGCTAGAGAAATCAAGGAGGCAACCATTTTTATCGCACTTACTTACACTTGTGAAATGGAAGAAGGAACTGATCCATGACCCATCCCATACATCAATAGTCCTTTCTGATCCTTCCTTTAACAAACGGCTAAAGAATGCCCCATTGTAAGAATGTGTACATTGCTGAAGCACTCATCAGAAAAATTAACACAGCGCAAGCCTGGCGCTATAATGCTGAGGTATTTTTGCAAAAATAAACTTGAAAGAACTAAACTAAAAAGAAAACTAAAAGAACTGAATCTTCACAGCCTCAGGTTTGGGTAGGGAAAATAACACAAACTTTTCCTCAGACTTCAGAGCTCAGTGTCTTCGGGATCTGCTACAGTGTTTGTCTTCTTCTTTGTACAGTGTTTGTGGGTGTGGCTGGAGTTTCAATTTTCCTGAGTCTGCGCGTGCAACAAATGGGCAAGGCTTGAGTTCCGTATCGATGTCACGCTGGAATGGCTAAAGACTCGTTACCGCTGCGATTAATTTGAACCACTATGAGTCGACTCTTTTCTAGATGTATCAATAGTTTTAAACATGGTGCACTTTCAAATTTAAACCTTAGCTGGACAGTTCACTTTACTTAGAGCTGTTACACACTTCATGGAAGGTAATTTTCAAAAACCCATAATAGGGGCTCTTTAAACAAAAACAGGCACTGGTCAATCACAACGAGCAAACAGTATCATACAGGGTAATCCAAATAATGATGGATGACGTGAAACTGAGATTTTGACACAGTGTCAAGATCCCGAAGTGCAAGTGTTTCAAAACACTGCACCGAAGCATGATCTGAAACACCCAGGTCATGTGACTAAAATGTTTCGAAACACCAGGTCACGTGACTAATGCGATTCAGAGCATCGGTCATTTCAGAAACGTTTAGAGATCTATGTTTAGAGTCCTGTATGCTGGTAATAGTTTGATTGGGATTACTTCAATAATGCCACTAATATCTACATACTCCACATGTCCTGGTTCCATTTCTGTTTAGTTCAGTTATGACTTTAGTAGGATTAATCAAAAATCGCTGTTTACATGGTAGAATTAGAGTATTGTCTTAATTGTATTAAAATCGTATTAAAGTATTGTTGCCCATGTAAACATACTCAATGTTCGACTCAACCACACTGTCAGGGCTCTGCAAACTTGGCTTTGCGTAGCAGCATTTTCTGTTTGTACGTACATCAAAAGCAAATATGCTATGTCGCAAGTGAAATCGGACAAACTTGGGGGGCGTGTGTCCTAAAAGTTTGAAAACCTCTGGTCTAGTGGACCGTGTGTGTGCACAATGAAACTGTGCTGCAAATGGCTTGAATTTGAATCCTGACTTGTAAATACTCTGAAGTTATGACTTGATGCATTTTAATGATGTTACTGTTTTATGATCAAAACAGTGTATTTATTGACAAAGTGTTCATTCAGATTTCAGACCAATGTTAAAGCAAAACGTTACAAGAACAGAGCATTTAAAAACTAGCATCTATCGCTGCATCACCCTGGATTGAAACCCATTATCTCTGCATAGTCAGGAACTCTCACCGCTTCACTAAATCACTTCAAGCCTCAATTCGTGGGGTTTAATACTTCAGTTTGCTGAACTATTTCTTTGTTAAAGCTGTTCCAGAGCAATGACCACTGGGTGACACTGTAGAAAAGGTTTTTAAAATGTTTTGAAGCTTTGACACATTTGCTTCAACTGTTTCAGTGTTTCATGTAGCCTCACTTTGCGTACCACTAAATCCAAAAGAATAGTTGAGTCACAGGTGAAGAGATCGGTTCAGGCAGTAAAAAATCAATAAACAAGGTGAGGGTCTATAAACACAGCACTAAAAAATATGACAAACGAAATGCTTCGTAATGCTACAAGGTAAACAAGACATGTGTATAGAAATGAGAGGTGTCTTTATAGTCCAGGTTATGAATAAATGATGAGCTTCAGCTGTGTGTCTGTGTCATAAGGGAGAACCAGAACAGGTGTGTGTGTGTGTGTGTGAGGTGCTTGACAGGATTTATAGTTCTCTAGTGATCGGCAGTTGCCAGATCGCTGGTGAATGTAACAGTAGTTGGAAAAAACAAATACAAAAAAGTCAATGTTTTCAGCTCTCTTCAAAATATCTTTTGATATGTTAACAGAATAAAGAAACTCATAAAGATTTGAAACAACTGGAGAATGAGATGATGACAGAATTTTCATTTTTGGGTGAGCTACCCCTTTAAGACTTGATGTGGAAACACAGAATTGGGTATGCAAAAATAGAAAGTCATGAAAGAAAGTCATTACAAATTAAACAACGCATCACTAATTCAGCAGCAGGAATTATTTTATTTTTCGTCCAGAGCTCTGGGAAAACCTTGATTTTATAGGATGGATTTGGATGTTATTGTATTCTTGGATCGTTTTAGGGTTTTTTTGGAGGGGGGTTGAGACAGTTCCAGCTTGGCTAAAACTTGAGCTTCCATATGTTGCCAGTTCTCAGCTAAGTTTGTTCTACTTTTTTCTTTATTTAATTTGACTTTTCCAACATATTTCACCATGCTCAGAGAGACTGTATTCAACCCTGAGAGACAGATCAAAGTGTTCATATCAAGCCATTTTCTCAAGAGAGACTTAATGTTGTGTGCAAGGTTTTCTTTTGGAGACACATTAAATCAGAACTTAAGCTTTGAGCGGAGCTGGAGAGAAGATGAAGATTACATTACGTGAATAAGTCATGCGGTCGGAATCAACAGTGTTCACTGCCCGTCACTTATTCCACCCACTGTGGGTTTTTTTCTTTCCTTGTACTGTGTGGGCAGACTGAGTATTGAATCCGTCACTTTTTTTCCTGTTTAAATATTTTATTCCTGTCTGGATTTTTCACACATCAGAGATTGCATGTAATTATTTTGTTTTGATCATATTTGATTGTGTTTTTTCCTTTAGCTCAGAAGATCAGTGGTGGCATCAGGCATGAATCAGGCCACTGCTGAATATCGCATCAGCAAGAGGTACTCTTTCATTTTTCTCATCAAGTCACTTTAAGTGGCCATGGGCTGCATTTTTTAAATTCTACTTATCTCTGAAGTTCACTTAGGCCAAGGATATCCAAACAAAGTCCTGGAGGGCGGGTGTCTTAAAGATTTTAGCTCCAACTTGCCTCAACACACCTTCAAGGATGTTTCTAGAAAGCCTAGTAAGAGTTTGATTAGCTAACCCTGGTGTGTCTGATTGGGGTTGGAACTAAACTTTCCACTCCTGGACCGAGTCACCCCTGACTTAGGCCATGTCTACAAGTAATTTTATAAATGGGGTGATCCCTGCTTTCCTGTAAAAAAAGCAATCTCTGTCTACATTCAAATGCAAAAACGCACTGTGACGCATGTAAAGGGCACGCCGAACCAACAAGTGGCAAGAATGACACTTTTATGCTGGATTTACACCAAATGGGGAATAAATGGGCCCCAAATTTAACCATTTTTCATGATTTAATGTAAGTATTTTGTGTCTCCAGAATGTATCCATAAAGTTTCAGCTCAAAATACCCATCAGATTATTTATTTTATCTTTTTTTAATCTGGGAAATGTGAGCTGTTTTAACATTGTAGCTGTTTTTGTTGCCTGTGCCTTTAATGCTAATGAGCTTATTTACCCTGCCCACCATTCCCACATGCATGTCAGGCTCCGATTACACTAGTACGTTTTAGTTTTAAAACGGCGTTTCAGAATGAAAACGATCCGTGTCCACACTAGCGTTTTACCCAGCGTTTTTGAACAATTCTCCATCTATATTACACAACTAAAAGTGCACATCACGAGACGACACACACACACTCTCTAGCATGCGCTGCAGCATATCTGCCCAGATCAGAGCTGTGTTCATTGGACTGTTCATCAAGGATCTACCGCTTTATATAATCTCACTATATTTGTTAAACGTAATCTTGTTGTCTATATCTAACAACAGACTTTGGTCTGTTGAATCTATTACTTGTTCTCAGGTAACGTGTTTTGGCGCAAAGATAAGTTAATAATAAATGTAACCACGTACATTCTATATAATGACTGTTTGCTTGCCTTTATTTCCTATAATGTACGTTATGCTGTTATAATGGCCATTATTGATTATTAAAACTGATATTCAGCAAAAGAGAGAGTATGTTTCGTATTTTCAATTAAAATGAAAGGAGGCCATGATGTTATAGGCTCAGTTTTGTTATAAATATGCATACAATAGGGATGTAACGGTATCAGAATTTCACGGTACGGTAATACCTCGGTATGAATGTCACGGTACGGTATTTATTGAATCATTTACAGGAAAAAACAAAACTTATGAAAATACTCCAAAAAAGTGCCAAAAGTGTCAATGACATACAAATTAGCCATCTATCTGTAAGCTTTGAAATAGGAACTTCAATTTTAATAACAAAAAAATATTAAACCATGTAAAAAAATAAAGTTTAAATTTAGTATTGTTGAAAACTCATCACATTCAACATTTAATCACACTCAGCCCATCTACCCAGATGAGAGCTCTGCTAGTCGGACTTCTCATCAAGCATCTCCCGCTGGATCTAATCTCACTATATTTATTAAACGGGATATTTCATTCATCTTGTTGTCTTTATCTAACGACATATTCCCTGACTTTGGGCATTGGAATCTATTACTTGTTCTCAGGTAACGTGTTTTGGCAGAGCGCAAAGATAAGTTAATGATTAATGTAAGCACGTACATTCTGTATATTGACTGATCGCTTGCCTTTATTTCCTATAATGTATAAACTTATTGTATGTTATACTTTTAAAATGGCCATTATCGATTATTAAAACTGATACTCAGCAAAAGAGAGGCTGTGTTTCGTATTTTCACTGAAATTGAAAGGAGGCAGTGTTTTTATCGGCTCCGTTTTGTTATAAATATCCACACAGTGAAGATGACGCTCATCTTATGCAGCACGACGCCTCAACATGTCTGCTGTCTAAGTTGCTAATATTAAAATGAAAATAGGCAGTTCCTTAAATCATGTTTACATTTTATTGTTGAGAAAGTGAAACAACGAAGCCAGGGTGATGTGAATGAAGTTATAAAGTACACTGTTCCCTTTGAAGATTTACCCGTGTCCTCGGTATAATCTGCTTTTCCATATCAAACTGAGAAGAAGAGACAGCAGCCTTGATCAAACTTGCGAAGTCTGAACTTACACGGAGAAGATGCAGGACTGAACTGTGCGTGTTAGGCTACTTAATATTCAGGAAAAGCCCCAATCAGAGAGGCGAATGTCTGCAGCCCCGCCTCCGTTTTCAGATGTACATGACAGTTTATAAGTATCACACACCAGACGCGCACATTCGAATGATATTTAACATGAAACTAATCAGATGGCGCTCTGTGGCGCGGCTGAAAAATGAACTGCGTCCTGAGCCGTCGCCGGGCGCCGCCGACTTGCGGCGCCGGTGTGTGTATCCTGATAGAAACCTATGTTTAGAATTCTAAAATACATGGCGCTCGCCGCTTCTGGTGTGCGACCTGCTTTAGAGTTTTCCAGCTCTTTTCATCCCCGCTTCTAGCAGCACACTCCATTTCCGCATTACTGGATCTGTAGCGACAACAGACCGCAAGGGATGATGGTCAAGCATGGGCTGATGGCAATTGTAGTTTTCGCTATCTCCCGTTCGCTTCATTCGCCTGAGCAAATTTTCTCAGAAGACCTATAGTTTTACCGAGTCATGCGACTTCGGTAATATCGAAAAAAATTAATATTGCGGTATGACGGTATTTACAATACCGTTACATCCCTAGCATACAATGAAGATGACGCTCAAATAAATATATAGCTACATGATGCCTCAACATGTTTGGTGTCTGTTAAGTTGCTATTATCAAAATTAAAATAGGCAGTTCTTCGCATCATGTTTTAATTTTATTGTTAAGAAAGTGAAACAACGTAGCCAGGGTGATATGAATGAGGTTATAAAGTACCCGTGTCCTCAGCAGTTTGCTTTCCATATCAAACTGCGAGGTCTGAATTTACAAAGAGAGGATGTGAGACTGAACTGTGTGTAGGCTACTTAATATTGAGGGAAAAGCCTCAATCAGACTGGCAAATGTCTCCAGCCCTGCCTCCGTTTTCAGATGTCTCCATTTTCCTCCATCCATACTAACACAGAGCAGCAGTGTTTTAGAATGAAAATGACCTCTCTAGCGTTTCCAAAATGCTCAATTTTCGGCACTCGAAAATTCCAGCATAGTGTGGACAGATGGCGTAACCATAGCAAAACTTAAGCTTTTTAAAACTAAAACTTATTAGTTTGTAGGCAGACAAGAATGAAGCAGATCTCCCTGACTACAGTAAAAACTTTCACAGCAGTTATTTGATGTATTTGTTGTGGAGTTAATTTAAGCCTTTTTTCAGCAATGAGTCACACATAATGTCGCACATAATGCACACACACTCAAACACGTTAGCTTTGCACTGTTTTTGTGCGGCAAATATGACAGGATACACGTTAATATCCACTGCTGTATGGACATTGATATGTGAGTGTACAAAATAAACCTGATTTAAGTCCACAAACCGGGATTGAAGCATTTTCTTTTAATTGTATTGATGCTATGCGGCTGTGGTTTTTCTTTATTACAAACATGCACTGTTTCAAAAACATTTTAAACTTGTGAAACTCATTCTTGATAACATTTGATGAGGATTGAGGATCACAAGGCGCCAGTGGTGTAAAGTAACTAATTACAAATACTCAAATTACTGTAATTGAGTAGTTTTTCGCAGAAATTGTAATTTACTAAGTAGTTTTAAAAATGTGTACTTTTACTTCTCCTTGAGTACATTTTTAGTGCAATATCTGTACTTTTACTTCACTACTTTCCTTCTACCTGCAGTCACTACTTTATTTTTTCTTGTCTATGGGAATTACAAAAATAAGTCTTGTCATTTCTGTCCAATCAAATCACACATAGAAGGTAAATTGCATCATAATAAACTACTTAAAGACATGTGCACTTTACATTGCAGCAAACTGTTTGGAAGCTTTAAAAGTGTCCCCTAACCCTAACGTTGTGGAGATGCTGCATTTTGTTTGGAAATGGAAATCGGGTTCACATCAGAGCTCAACGTCAGCCCGATATCAATGTCCAACCTAAAACCAACGTCTAATGATGTTACAGCTTGTCGTTGTGTCGACTTTACCACTATGACATCTATCAGACGTTGAATTTTGGTTGCCATAACTGATGAATATTTGACGTCAATAGAATGTTGGTTTAAAGGGCACATAGTTTACCCCTTTTTTAAGATTTAATATTAATATTATGGTTCTTCTGAGTGTGCCAGTTTAGGTTCAGTTCAAAACACAGTTAAGATTTTTTTTGTTATTATTATGTGTTCAAAAGTGTCATATTGGGGACGTGTACACAGCTTGCTGTTTTAAGGGGTGTGTTGCTTCACATGAAAATTATTTTCAAATTTCCGCCCAACGTAACAAGGGGGCGGAGCCAAGAGCTCCCCCGCTCTGTGTTTGGCAACAGACAGGCAGACAGAGAGAAGCAGCATGAGTGATCCGTACATGTACGACTCGGACACAGACCAAGCAGAGAGTACAAAATCATTTGTGTCTTTTCATAGTTTTACAGCCAACTGTGTGCTATAAAGTTAGAGCTTGTGCACCGAGACTAATAACCACGCACACTGAATTAACTTTGACTGTGGCACGCACATTCGCATGTTATTTATAATGAAACAATTCAGATGGAGCTCTGTGGCGCGGCAGAAATATGAAGTGTCCCAAATCATGGCTGGGCGCCGTGGACAGCTGCCGGCTGGAAGAACTGTTGTGTGTTCACTGACAGAAAGCTCGCACTTTCCAGCTGCACCTAGTTAAGATCACAGGGAGCTTCTGTGATTGCGAGAAAAAAAATCTCTTCCGTGCTCCTACGTCAAGTTGCGGTCGATCTAAAAGCAGCTCCAATTGGTTTTATGTTGTTAAATTGAAAAAAAAAAGGACTATGTGTGTTTATATCACCCCAATATGATGCACTATACACTATACCTACACACATCCAAAGCTTGAAAAGTAGATTTTTCACCACAGGTGCCCTTTAAGATGTTGTCTCGACATTGGATTTTGGTCACTTTCTAACAACCTAAAATTAACCAAATATCAACGTCATTTGATGTCATTATTGGACATCAATATAATGTTGTCCTTAGACGCTGGCTAGACATTGAATTTTGGTCACCTGACATCACAACCTAAATCTAACCTAATATTAACATCTTATGACATTGTGTGCCTGCTGGGCAATAACTAAATGCACTACAGAATGTTACATTAACACAAACACATTCACAAATTACATGTAAATGCATCAACTTTTAACAGCATAATACTTACTACTCATGAGTACTTTTAAAGGGGCTACTTTTTCTCCTACTTTGAGTAATATTTACAAAAGGCATTTTTACTCTACTAACACTACATTATTAGGCAAGTAATGGTACTTTTACTTAAGTTTACTTTTTCAGTACTCTTTTCACCACTGCAAGGCGCTGAACAGATCTTTTAATCCCGGTTGCTTTGCTCACGTCCTGTCTTGTTGATATGATTACGCATTACTACCGAGTCATGTTAATGCGTGTCTGTTGATTAATTCGGTCGGTGGGGAAACCGCACTCCTACGTCAAGTTGCAGTCAGCCTCAAAATGGGAGGAATTTGGATCTTATTTTAACATCAGGAAATTATTAAAAAGAGACTTATTGTGTTTCTATCTCTCCGATATGACTGTGGACACACTTTACCTACACACAGTTCTGTCCAAACAGCTTACAGAAAAGTCCCTGACCCCAGCAAGCTACCCAGGGTCTAACCTCTCTAACTATAAAAATAAACAGGGGGCTAATATTTCTGACTTCAACTGTCTATGTGCATATATGTACATATACTATAGGAAAACGGCCAATTTTATACAAGTCACATATATTGAAAATTTATGTCAAAACCTATATTAAAACATATGTCTATATAGGTTATTTCCATGTGGGACAGAGATATAGAAGCAGGCATTAATCTTTGTCTGTGGAGGTGGAGTTTAGCCAAACCATGAAAATGCTACAATCACTGCACAACCTGTCATTTTGGAAGAGCAGCTTCAATGAAAGCTGTTTTTAGACTAGACCAGAATGTTTTATGAGATGTTTTTAATATCTCAGTGAAATCTCACAAGAGATCAAGGGAATTTTGATTGATTGATTTGATTGATGAAACTAAAATCTACTTGTAGGGTTTGATGAAGAAACAAAGTGAAACATTTGGTTAAAAGCATTAACAGATTTTTAAAGGCTTATCTAGCTGTATATGCATTTCGTCACCTTGGAATTATAAGGTTCTATCGGCGTACTGAATGATTTTGTGATATTTGAAGTTTTTGCATTCCATAGCAAACAGTATTGTGAAATTTGTTTTTTTAAATAAAAAGTCTTAAAATGGGAACAACTTACAAAAAAAATATCCCATAATGTAAATAAGCTGTCCTTTTATATGAATATGTCAATAACATAATTTTGACAAAAAATGTAATTGAACCTTATAATTTCTTAGGTGACGATTTGTAAAAGTTTTCCTTTCCGACTAAAAATTTATATCTGGAGACATTTTCGATAAATCATGCAAGGTGATTTGCTAAGCTTTACAGTTGTTGCTTTACTAGAATTTGCTGTATTATTTAATGGCAAAACCTAATATTTGCTTATTTTTGGGCAGATTCTACTCACCTTTTGATTATTCTTCTTGTTTGTAACTCTATGCTGCTCTTGTTAGATTATCCAGCCCAATCGAGGAAATGTAACTATTCTAAATATTACTATTTACTATCATGAAGTGGCTCTACTTTTGAATCTTTTTGTCAATGGTCTTTTTAGCGCATGGCTGAAAGAGTCGGCCCACGAGGTTGTGGGTAAGCTGGATCAACGCATCACCTTGGTAACTGGACTGAATGTGCAGCCTCCTTATGCCGAATATCTCCAGGTTGTAAATTATGGGATTGGAGGACACTATGAACCTCATTTCGATCATGCCACAGTGAGTAATTGTCTGTCGTCATCTATTTACCTTTTGAACATTCTACATTTTTTTCTATTTGGCTTTTCCCTCAAAAATAAATATTCGCTGTTTACTGTAAATATTGACTCCCATAGTATTTGCTTTTTCAACTATGGTAGTTTTCCAGCTTTCTTCAAAATCACATCTTTTGTGCTCAACATTAGAAAGAAACAAAAACACACCGGCACTGGTTTTAAAACAGCATTTTGTGCTGTACAGGCATCGGTTCTGCCCTGTAATAACAACTATAAGCAGATGATCCAATATAAGTAGACCTTATTAATTAGCTTTTTTATAGGTGCCATTTCAGTTCAGGGTGATCGGGCGAAAATTGACCCCACAAATAAAGGTTTATAACTCTTTGAACCTGCCCCTTTTAAGCTTTGATCCAAATTGTGCCATTTTGGTCGCTTTAAATTAAAATGAGATTGTGCTTTTTTAAAAAGAGGGCAGAGCTACAAATGCCTGTGCATCCGCATAGCAGCAGATTTAAACAAGACTAACTTTCTATGCTAATGAGGGAGAGATGGTCACTAATGTGCAGAGCTTCCCCCATTTGATGACAATGAGAATGTCAATCAAAGTGTTTTTGCAAACTGTTTCTATCAAGTGAGATTATAAACAAATAAAAATCATGAATATTTACCATTAGAAGCTTCACTTATAAAAAATATCTATTTTTGCATAATAGTTCCCATTTAATTCAGACATAAGAGATCCATTACCAATAAACTTAAAAAAGCTTCAACATCAGTCCTTGTGAGTGGCTTAGGACACCCCTAAAGGCTATATATATATATATAAATATATATATATATATATATATATATATTAGGGATGTAACGGTATCAGAATTTCACGGTACGATGTTTTTTGAATCATTTACAGGAAAAACAAAACTAATGAAAATACCCCAAAAAAGTGCCAAAAGTGTCAATGACATACAAATTAGCCATCTATCTGTAAGCTTTGAAACAGGAACTTCAATTTTTAAATTTTAATAACAAAAAATTATTAAACCATGTAAAAAAATAAAGTTTCAATTTAGTATTGTTGAAAACTCACCACATTCAACATTTAATCACTCACTCACTTAGATAGAGATGGGTTTTAAGGAAAATTATCATATAACTATAATCTGGTAAAAGCTGGTATCTCTGGGCATTTACAATGTCCCCTGCAACAGAAAAAAACCCTCTCATTTGGGACTGAGGTTTCTGGGACAGAGATATGGCTTGGCCCAGGTTGACAGCAGTGGGTAACGTTGTGCATTGTCTTTCCCCCACTTGAGAGGACAAGCCATGAGTGAGATAGAGGTCTCTTTGCGGTACAAGTCAATGTCTGCATCAATTTGAACAGTGTGCTCTGTTTCTGCAGTCCCCATGACTGTTATCAGTCGTATTCCCCAACTTGCAGGTACGTGAACACATAGGGCTCAACCTGTTCAGTGCACATGCCCTTTTTAGTCTTGGATAGAAAGTGCCCTTCCAAAATGATCAAAAACACCCCCGCGACGCGACACACCCTCCGTCCCACCCTTCAGTAGACGCGCGACAACACCGCTATTATGTGCGTATAAAGTTGAAACTTCACAATAAGAGCAACACAGTCGTGCAGCACGTCTTTTTCAGGACGGCGCTCCGACCGTGCGTTTCTGGATGCGGTGGTTTCCTGTCCCTGAATGATGGGCACGAGCTCTGCGTTGCATGTCTGAGGGTCCAACATGTTAATGCGGTGCTTCCGGGCATTTTATGTCATCATTGCGATGCCATGACTGTTGCGCAGTTAAGATCGCGGCTAGCCTTTGCAAAAGGGCGAACCACCCCAGCTGTCCCCTGCACTGCAGCGGGCACTCGAGCAGATCTGAGGGTTCCAGTGGGAGATAATCCGTCGCCTCCGGGCCCGCGGACCTCCCGCTCCTCCAAGCGCTCCATCCAAGCTTCGAGCGGAGGAAGTGATCCGTCTAAACAGATAGTAGCCCTTACGTTCAATGACACCGGGGAGCCCTCACCACTCCTGACGGTGGAGCGGCCAGGTTTCGACCGCGATTGTGGTCAATCTTTGTCCGCGTGGTGCCTCTTCTTGGCGGGGTCCCCCTCGTCTCCTGCCCAAAGCCTGTAAGTTATCTTAAGTTATCTGCTAGAGCTTACAAGGCTGCGGGCCAGGCTGCTTCTGCCTTGCACGCGATGGCCACCTACCAGCGCTACCAAGCGCAGGTGCTGGCCGAGCTGCACAAAGGTGGGTCCAACCCAGGCTTGTGAGCTTCTCACCGCAACCGACTATGCTCTTCGCACCAATAAGTCCGCTGTGTGTGCGTTGCGGAGGACGATGTCCACATTAGTGGTCCAGGAGCGCCACCTCTGGCTAAACTTGACTGATATGCGCGAAGTCGACAAAGTCCGCTTTCTTGACTCCCCCATATCCCAATCTGGCCTGTTCGGCGTCACCGTCACCTAATGTCACCTATCAGCGGGACCGTAAGCCCGCTCCGCCCGCCGAACCATCCATATCTGCTGCTCCTCGACGAAGGCGCCCGCCTACGAGAGCTGCCCCACACACGCCTCCAGCGAAGAGAGCGTGTCGAGCACCTCAAAAGCAGGCAGCCCCCCTGCCCAGAGCGCTGCTAAGTCCGGTAAACGGACCGCAAAGCGTCCCTGGGACAGGTCATCTGGAAAAGAGGGAACTTGCTCTTTCCCCGCTGGAGGGTGGGGCCCCATTTCCAACAGCACTTTTTACTGCCATGAAAACATCAATGAAAGAGCACTTTTCCACTTACCCAGATGTGACAGCCCGAAATCTGCCAGTGTCGGAAGCTATGCTTCTAGCTCGCGGTTCGGTGCGTTTCGCCAGTGGCTGACGAGCGCTGGGAGGACGGTCTCCTTTTTCCCACCCCTTGAGCCTCCCCTCTAGAGTTTGGGTGCGGAGTGAGAGCAAATCTCTTGCCTCCAGCTCTTCCGCGGGACCCTTGCGCTTCCCGGATCAGCACACCCACTCCGCGCTGCCCCACTGCTGGTACGTCAGTGATTGTAGTGATGAATCCCTTAGCGAGAGCTCTGCCTGCCTGGTTAGCGCGGACAGCCCTTCGCGGTGGCTCATACGCACAATCAGACTCGGCTATGTGGTTCAGTTCGCAAAATGGCCCCCCTTGTTCACGGGTGTGTATTTACCAGGGTCAGCCCCCTGTCCACCCCTGTCTTGCGAGAGAAGATTCCTGTCCTCCTGGCGAAGGATGCAATCGAGCCGGTCCCTCCAGCCGAGATGGAGGGTGGTTTTTACAGCCTGCACTTCATCGTGCCCAAAAAGAGCGGTGGGTCACGGCCAATCCTAGATCTGCGTGTTTTGAACCGCTTTCTGCACAAGCTACCGTTCAGAATGCTCACGCAGAAGCGCATCCTCCGGTGCGTTCATCCTCTGGATTGGTTTGCAGCAATAGACCTGAAGGACGCATATTTCCATGTCTCCACTCTTTATCGCCATCGTCAGTTTCTGCAGTTTGCGTTTGAAAGTCGAGCTTGGCAATACAAAGTCCTCCCCTTCGGGTTCTTTCTGTCTCCACGGGTCTTCACCAAGCTCGTGGAGGGTGCCTTAGTGGCCCTTCGGCTCGCCGGTATCCGCATACTCAATTATCTCGGCGACTGGCTGATTTAGCCCACTCTCGGGAGCAATTGATTATGCACAGAGACAAGGTGCTCTGGCACCTCCACCTGTTGGGGTTTCAGGTCAACCGAGAAAAGAGCAAACTCGCCCCTGTGGAGCTGGACTCGATCACCATTACAGCACGTCTCTACAGAGAGCGCGCTCAGCTGATGCTGAACTGTCTGAGAGAGCTCGACAGCAAAATAGTGGTCCCAGTGAAATAATTTCAGAGGCTCTTGGGGCATATGGCATCCGCAGCCCCTTTCACGCCGCTCGGATTACTCCATATGAGACCACTCCAGCACTGGCTTCACGATCAAGTTTCCCAGACGCGCATGGCACGCGCGTGCACACCGAGTCTGTATCGCCGCGCCCTCAGCCCTTGCAACGACACCTCATTCCTACAGGCCGGAGTGCCTCTAGGACAGGCGTCCAGTCATGTTGTTGTTTCAACAGATGCTTCCAGCACGGGCTGGGGGGCTGAGTGCTGCGGGCATGCGGAAAGCAACCCAGTTGCATTGGCATATCAATCGCCTGAAGCTGTTGGCAGTGTTCCTCACTCTCCACCATTTTTTTTTCCGGTGCTGGAGCAGCAGCACGTGCTGGTCAGGATGGACAGCACAGCGGCGGTGGTGTATATCAACCACATGGGGGGTATTCGCTCTCGCTGCATGTCTCAGCTCGTCCTCTGTCTGCTCCTCTGGAGTCATCCGTGGCTGAAATTGCTGCGTGCCATTCACATTTCAGGCAAGCTCAAGACCAGGCAGCCTTTACATTCTGGAGAAAGGAGACTCCACCCCAAGTCTGTTCAGCAGATATGGGCGCGATTTGGGGAAGCCCAGATCGATCTGTTTGCTTCCCCCGAGATTGCTCAATGCCAGTTGTTCTTTTCCCTGACCGAGGGCTCTCTCGGCACGGATGCACTGGCTCACATCTGGCCTCGGGGCATGTGCAAATATGCTTTTCCCCCAGTGAGCCTGCTCGCGCAGTTACTGTGCAATGTCAGGGAGGACGAGGAACAGGTTGCTGGCTGCGCCCCTCTGGCCCAACCGGACCTGAATGTCAGAGCTCTCCCTCCTCGCGATGGCCCTCCCTGGCAGATCACTTTGAGAGAGAGGACCTACTCTCTCAGGGACAGGGCACCATCTGGCACCCTCGCCCCGATCTTTGGAACCTCCACGTTTGGTCCTTAAACGCGAGGAAGACTTAGGTAGCCTACCGATTGCGGTGGTTAATACCGTCACTCGGGCTGGAGCCCCCTCGAGCGTGCCTATGCCCTGAAGTAGAGTCTATTCACTGAATCGTGCGTCTCTCGCTGAGAAGACCGCCGAAATTTGCCAGAT